TTTTATTTGTTGGTTTAATGTAGATTTTTTTATCTGTTTGAAAATGCATTATAGAATCTGGAAACACAAATGTTTTTCCATGCATTGCTTCCTTTTTCCATATTTATCCAGCTCTATTTATTCTAGACTTCTTCATAAGATCCCTGCATGAATAGTTTTGTTTAAACTGAAGGGTTTGTTCCATCATCTCATATTTCCTGATGAATGCTACTTTTTTGGTTTTCAAAATAAAAGCATGTTTCAGTCTGAAATTACATAAAAAGGTAAATCAGGATGTATTCAGACCAGGAAAGTCCTTTGGTCCAATTGTTTGGTCCGGACTAAAAATGGACTTTATTATTTTTTTTCGTTTGGTGCGGTTTGCATTCACATTGTGCTTTTTTTGCAAATGAACTAAACTTTTAAACAAAGCCATGAGGCTGATGATCATTGCTCCCATTGGATATAAAAGGACGGGGGCGGGACTGAGCCACAGATCCAGAAGAAAACAAGGAAGTCCTGCGTGCTGCGGTTCTGATGCGCACATTTTTGCTGATAGTACAACTGCAATATCATTTAAAATGTCAGAAGCAGCTAATTTAACGGTGGTTCCGTGATGATATTCTGATTTTGGAGCGGCGTCAGTAAATGTGTCCCGCGACCCAAAGGAGACGAGGTGCGCTGCGTGTTCTGACCCACTTCATGCTGCCAGCAGAGCTGCTAACAGGAGATGATGAAACAGGTATGATTTCAGTTTATTTAGCTCAGCCACGGTGGCCTGTGAAGTCCAGTCAATGCAGTTGGTTCGGTTAGAGTCCGGTCTGTATTCACACCAGAAGAGAACTTAAGTGAACCGCACCAGAGTCCCTTTGGAAGCGAACCGAGACCACCTCAAAAAGCGGGTCTCGGTCTGGTTGTTTGATCCGCACCAGAGTTCGCATGAGTGTATTCACACCTGCACCAAAGGTCCGGACCAACGCTGGAAACGAACTCTGGTTTGTTTAAAGCGGAGCAAATGATCAGGTCTGAATACGACCTTACTCTGTGAGGGCTGCAGATTACAGGACGCAGGGCTTCCTCAGACACCCGACAGCTACTGCAGACCACTTCACAGCCAGACTCCACTGCCGTTCATCATGCAGGGTTTAACCAGCTGGCTGTCATCGCCCCGGTCAGGCTTTGAACTGTCGCCAACGCTGATCATGACGCACCTAACATCACCACAGTTTTATTGCCAGAGTTCACGCGGTGAAACAGCAAAACTAACAGGTTGCATGAATCTCAGTCTGGAAGTCAAACGGAGTGCATCGGAAACACTCAAACAACGCATTTAAGATCTAAGTTTACAGCTGAAGAAACAACGTCTGCAACAACAATAATCAAAAAGCTCCACCGACAGTTCTGTTTAGTAATAAAACAGTATTGATTAGTTTATTAATTTAGCGTTATTTTCTTTTCCTAAAACGTGATGGTAGGTATTTTCTGACCAGTGAACGGCTTCTTTATTGTACGAAAAATCAGAGGCAAAAACAAGCAAATAATCTGAAGACATTAATGTTTTAAAGTGCCTGTGACACCCAGTTTTTAAAAAATATGAATGCGCTTTTGGAAAAAAGAACAACAATAACATTGCAAATAAATTTCACGCTGCTGAGTTGAGATATTTGCACGTGCAGTAATAGGAAGTGATGCCAGAGGAATGTGAACAGAGCTTTGCTATGACGGCTAATCTGAAAGGAAGTTTTTTAGATTATTTTGAGTCAAAGCTCAAATAATATTGATTTAATAAACAAAAACCAGTGAGTTCCTTTTTTTAAAGACTTCCCCTTTGATGGCACTTCCTGTTTCATTTTGACTGAGCCAAATTTACATGAAAATATTCCAGTTATGTGGCAAAATGGATAAAATCAAATGTATTGTGCAAAGTTTCATAAATGTAAAGATGTTTTCTTTGACTTTTTGTATTTGAAGGATATGCATGTCACAGGCATATTAATATCTCCCTTTGAGGTGCACACATAATGCAACAATTAACCACTCTTACATGAAGAGTTTAAAATGTTGCATTCAGACAACTTTTTTTTTCTTTAAAGCTCTGCTTCTGTATGGTTTACTAGTCCTGAGCCCTGGACTTTACCTTTATGTTCTTGTCTTCTTCCTCAGTATCTCAATGTTTTGACTGCCTTTCAGTTTAAAAAAATAGATAGTGAGAGATAAACAATGATTTATTTTTTTATGATCTAAAAGTTCAGACTTCTCTGATAAGATTCAGCCGTGTCCTCGGTGACGATAACACAAATCTTCATGCATTTCTTCCCTTTCAGATTTTAAAAAGACGCCTTTCTAACAGCTCAGAATCCCTTCACTCATGTCCCACTTGAGTATTTATTTAGTATTTAATCAACATCGAGATTAAAAAATAAATTATAGGTGTGTGCCAACCTGTAAATGCTGGGTTGCAAAGAATTTCATGACAGCATCTTGGCAAGCTTCAGATCAAGAAGGAAAAAAAGGGAAAAGAAAAGAAATG